TTCCAGCCTCAGCAATTCTGTGGTTCTGTAATTGGGGTCTGGGCAATTTGTACTTAGATTCTGGAGGCTGCATGCAGCTGCCAAATTTTTGTGTAGAAATTGAATAATTCCCTTTAGAAATGGGAAATGTAGCCTTATTCATAGAGAGGATTATAGGTAACTTTTCAAACTGGTTGCTGCATAAAATTAAGATTGCAGACGTTTAAGTACGTAAAGTTTTAGTTACCTTAGTTAGGCATTTTGGGTTTAAGGAGTTAAGGCACTTGAGCAGCATGTCAGTTCCATAGAAAATCAACTGTTCTGCAGGGAGACAAGTGAAAGAGACATTCAGTCACTTGAAAGTAAAGTAGCCTTCTGACAGCTTACAGTACATTGATGTGACTATCTGAATTTTGGTGTAAGAGATACTGGTTCCCTGTTACTCAGCGCTGTTGTACAACTATTGTTCAAGTACCTCTGCCACTGGAAGGGTACTGTCACTGATAGACTGCATCATTTCCCCGTTGACATAACTAGTAAAGCCTTTAGCAAGTAACTAGAACAACTTACACAAGCATACAGCCTTAGTTTTGGTATGATTTTGTAAAGTGCCAATTGCTGTGATACAGTTGAATCATGTAAGATAGTACAGTGTAAAAGAGTTTCAGTTAAACTAGAAAATTAAGAAAAGTTAAAGTGTTTAGATTGCATGTTGAAAGACCTATTTAACATGATGTATGCAGCTCTTGAAATTTTGGAGTTCCAGACCCAATCTTAAAATATCTTTTCAGAATCCAATTGCTAATATCTTTCTATTTCCTAAGTAACAGAGGAATTGCTGAAATGATACTGAACTTCAAAACACTGATAGGTTGTTCTTAGTTTCTATTACTGAAAATTGGCATATATCTTAACATTTGCCACTTAAAATTGCATCCAGAAGTTAGTGAAGTTCTGTCTTTTGAAGTGGAACTGTGAAACATGTTCTGGTTATTCAACAAGTCTGATGCTGAAGGCATGGTGCTATGAGATATGATGATTTGGAAAAATAGCTGGGGTTAGAGTAGTGGGGTTTAGATAATTGAACAGATACTTCCACACAACTTTAGGTCTCTCTGTAGCAGAGATGGCTTGTTTCCCTCTTGGTTGCTTAATTGAACAACCAGAGTAGGATTAGAGAAAGTGACAGGCTTGTGTGCTGCTTTTTCATTTATTTGTTAGAGGAGTTACACTCCTGTAACAAATTAGAAGTGTACCACTTCTAATGGATATTGAGCACTCCTCCCATACTGGGGCATGGACTCCTGAGGACTCGTGACAATGTTAGCAAGGTTTCACAGTATATTCCATTTGCTTTTTTTGAGAAAGTTTATGAATCCGTTATATGGCAAGGAGAAGCCTTGTCATCATGCCAACTTTAGCTATCTTTTTCCTTCAGAATCAAAAAATTACCTACCTACCAAGGTGATAGAGGCAGTGGTTCTGTTGCTCTTGCCTAGACCTGAGGAAAACGTGTTAATGTTCCCCAGAAAGTCAGACAAAAGAAATGTGCTTCAATTTGCTCTTTTTTGAACAGAGAACCATGGGGAAAGTGGCCAAGAAGCAATGTAACTTGTTGATTGAGTTGACTAAAATTTATACCCTAGAATAATGAACCTGGAGACTACAAATCTGCCTGCCAGATGCCCTCAAGCACATTGCCAGTTGTCTACAGTGGAAATGTTAGAAGTCTCTCAGAGTAAAGGCTATTCTGTAGCAGCAAATTGCTGAAGAAAAGTCTCTGCCTACTTGCAACACTAACTTTAACTTTTACTTGCTACTGAGTATAGAACAAGCAAGGAAAAGTCAAGCAGTCGAATGTATAAAATAGTTTCACTGCAGTCCTTTAGGAATTAAAATAAGGATCTGGTAGCTCTAACTAATGGAGGATGGAAAAAATACATTAATTTATAATATCGATATACTTAGACCTTCAGTTAAAAGTCCTATCCCACCTTATATTCTAAGTCAGTTTCCAAGCAATTTGTGAATGTAATGGGGTTGTTCTGGTACTTCACAGCTAAGGCTTGAGTAAAACTAAATCTCTGCAAAAAGCAGAGTGTTGTCTTTATAGTATTTTGTCACTGCATCTTATATTCTTTTGAAATATTAGATTTCGTCAAAGCATTCATGTGAACATCACATTTTCTGTTAATATATAATGTTAAAATCAGTTATGACAAAATTGCAGCAGTTTTTAAGGGAATAACACTTGAAATTTCTCTCTTCTACTCATATTTGTTCAATCAACAGTTTTTAGATCTAAGCTGAAAAGCAAAACATTGCAAAGGAAAGGAGTTGCGTTGATTTATTTTTATTAAGGGGGAGGAGTGGGAGATGTGGATAAGTCCTTCAGAACTAATATGGGTCGAAGGCTTTAGTCTAGACAGCAAATAAGTAGTTTATACCTGGAATATAATCAGCTCATTTCTCCAAGATTTCCTTTGATCCTAAAATACTTTCAGTCACAAGTTCTGGGTCTTGTGACAGCCTTATTGGAGTAAAGCTTCCATGAATATTTGAACAGCTTAGGGGTCCTGGCTTCTAACTCTGAGTAGGACCTAGTCTAAGTGTTTGTTGGAGGAGGGTGACAGAAAGCTTAAATATAGTTTGAAGAGTCAGCAGACGAGCAAAGGATTGAGGGCGCGTGGAGACTGAACTATAACCATTTGGAGATGATTTTTAAGGAGTGTTCAAGCTCCGTTTGATAATGAGGGAGGTTGTGTGCTGTATTGTATGAATTCTTTAGATGAAGGGCACTTTTCAAGGCTGTCAGGCACATTGAATCTGTTTTATCTAATATTTTAATTTTTAAAATTATAGGTATCTACAGCGAACAGTAAAACACCCAACCTTATTACAGGATCCAGATTTAAGACAGTTCCTGGAAAGTTCAGAGGTATTTAAGCCAAAGTTCTCACATTTGTTTCTAGATACGGTAACCTACAAAGCAATATATTCTCTTTGTTGAGACCTACTTAGGCAGTGGTGTGCCTGTGCTTCTGATGAAACTTAGAGAAGTGCTAGCCACCAAAAGCTCTTTGCTGTTCAGCGACTTCTCAAGCAAGTTGGTCTGTCCAGTTCTGAGGGAAGCTTGCTTACATGGGGAATATCCATGATTGATGTTACTGGTTGTTAAGTTAGACCAAGAATTGGAAGCAGCATTCTTGCCTAGGAATATAGATATATTGGTAGAATAATGTGAAAACTATCAATGCTGTTGGCCAGGCTTAGATGTATCAGTCTGGCACCTTTGATAATATTATTGTTAGAGATACATAGTATCTCTTTATAACTGCTCATAGTGGATTCGCTGTAATACTAAACTGTCTTTTGGCCAGTGTCAGTATCTTAGTTATACTGAGTGACAAAGACCTCACTTGGCACAAAAGCATCATTGACAGATAACTTACACTGTATTTGTCGATGCTGCTGACAGACAAAACATCACATGAAGGGCCACCTTGTATGGCACATTCAGATTTGCCTGAATAAAAATAATAACGATTACATTTAAAGTTTGTTAACTTATCCCTGAGGGTTTCTAAGTACCTAAGCAAATGCACAATTCTCTCGATACGCATGGGGATTTTGAAATATGGCCTATAATGAAAAGCGAAAAGACATCAACCTTTCATAATCAGCATGTGGTGCAAATCTTTCATTACAAGTAAATGTTTTAAAGAATTTCTTTTGTCTAATTTGTTGTAAATTTAAGCTTTTCTGTTCCTGTAGTGGCAGTTTGTTCTCTGTAGTATATAGGTGGCTAGTTAGGACCTTTGGCTAGTTCATAATCACTTTGGACAAGCAGGTTGTTTGTTTCATTTAAATGTAAAGATGTAGAAGAAAAGTAAATAGTCTATATTTTATGTTTTCCTCTTGAGAATGTAAAAGTAGCAAATCTGGGAAATTAAACTCCACCATATTGAAACACATAGGAGTAAAGAAAACACTATACCCTTTTCTTTCCCCCTTGTGCCCAGTTAAACCTCCATCCTTTTAACCAGTCTCTTTGCCCTTATTTGTCATTCAATTCCAGCTGCCGAGAGCGGTTAACACCCAGGCTCTGAGTGGAGCAGGAATATTGAGGATGGTGAACAAGGCTGCCGACGCTGTCAACAAAATGACGATCAAGATGAATGAATCGGATGCAGTATGACCTGATTTTTCGGCTTGAATAATGAGATGAATTAATGAGCCTCAACAATTGCATTTTAAAGATGTAGTAGTAGAAAATGGGTTATTAATTTGCTTATTGGCTTGAATTCTTAGCTGTATCAGTTGACCACCCTGGTAGTATATGGATAATTTGCTTCTTTAAAACCAGAAATGTTGTTGGTAATCTAATTTGTAATGCTTGACTCTTTCATCTTTTGTCAGTGGTTTGAAGAAAAACAGCAGCAATTTGAGAATCTGGATCAGCAGCTTAGGAAACTTCATGCTAGTGTTGAAGCATTAGTCTGCCACAGAAAAGGTAACTATACTTTTATGTTGCTGCATGAACTCAAGTGCTTAGAAGTTCAGTAAATTGTAATGAAACAATAGCTTAGTATGTCAGAGTTCTTAACTAACTCAGTTATACAGTATATTTTAATGCAAAAATCTTCTGATTTTGCCTTTTAGTTTGAACTGGTTTAGCATTTTTGTATACCTGTTCTTAATTTTAACCAGAATTTCTGTAATTCCTAAAGTTAATGTGTTGGTTTAGCATAGGCCGTGTTCTTGCAGAGATTCAGTACCATACCTAGCAAGTGATTCTACTGCAGTAGACTTTGATAAATGTATCTCTAGGTCTCATGGCAGGAATCATTTCCTTCTGAACAAAAAGTGGCTACATAAATCCATTTAAAAATGTTTTGGTTCAGTATTGCTCTCCTGAGTTCAGGCTCTTAAACAGGAATGTACTGTTCTTAATTTGGTCCACATAATGTTACATCATCAAGCTACTGTTAAAGTAAAATTTTCTGGAAAGTAGTCTCGGAATATCAGCTTTTAGTTTACTTATTTTAGAGAAAAGCAAAGGTTGTAAGTTTATTCTTTAATCACCAATGCTTCTGTTTTGTCAAAGATTGCTTTCCATCAGATGGTATTAGAAAACAAACAAAAAAACCCCAACAAACCCAAACAAACAAAAGAGCTCAAAACGAACCACTAACATCAAAACCTTAATTTGTAGTTTCAAGGAAGACCATAAATGTGCCCTCTGACACTACTCTACTGTATTATATTCAGATGTGGAGTCAACATTCAGCCCTACACTTTGGAAAGTATGTGAAAATAGAATCATAGAATCATAGAGTGTGTTGGGCTGGAAGAGTCTTTTAAAGGTCATCTAGTCCAACCCTCCTGCAGTGAGTGGGGACACCTTTAGATCCGGCTGCTGGGAGCCCCCCTGAGCTTGAATGCTTCCAGGGATGGAGCCTTCACCGCCTTCATAGCGAAGAACTTCTTCCTGACATCCAACCCAACTCTACCCTGCTCTAGTTTAAAACTGTTGCCCCTCATCCTGTTGCTACCCACCCTTGTAAGCAGCCCCTCACCAGCTTTCCTGTAGCCCCCTTCAGGTACTGGAAGGCCTCTATAAGGTCTCCCTGGAGCCTTCTCTTCTCCAGGTTGAACAACCCTAACTCTCTCACCCCATCTTCTCAGGAGAGGTGCTCCAGCCCTTTGATGATTTTTGTGGCCCTCCAGTAAGTTGCTTTCTCTTAACTCCATCAGGAATTACTCTCTGTAGTGAGAAATCTTTGGCTATGTGTACTCAAGACTAAAGATGATTTTAAGAAATAATGGAAAATGGAAGTGTTTGTCTACTGTTGTTTTAACACCTGCTAGTGGATTTAAAGAAGTGTGGTAGTTCTGAGGAATTTTTAAGACTTATGTTTAAGACCTTTTGCTTTTACAAATGTTTCTGGTGTTCTGATGATTCCACAGAAGCAGCACAGCTGCACACAAACCTGCACTTTTAATCCAGAAGTAATGTGAATTGTTTAAAGGTAGATTTGTTTAAAGGTACTTCATAGGATTTAACTTTGTACAGGGTGACTTACATGGGATTTGATAAGACAATTGCTCTACTGTTTGTTAATAAATAATCTCAAGACTTTACCTTCATGGATGCCAGCCATGCTGGTATGTGAGTTTTGTTTTTCTTTCAAGGTGTGTCAGTGTGGCAATACACTACAGTATGCACATCAAAGTTACTTTAGTCAATAAAAGAATATAACAGAAATAAATTCTACTCGTAGGTTTGGTGGCTTTGTGAAATAATTGTGGTTTTTTTCCACCATGAGCTACATGGAATAACTATGCTATAGACCTGTTAAAATTGTTTGAAACTTGCTCTATAAGTACCTTAGCTTTTATTTTATAGGCTTACATTTTCTCTGAACTAGGCAGCTGGATAATACTGAAGTGATAAGTTTTTTCCGTGCCTTTTGCTAGGCAGAGTAGGCATGACATTAAAAGGCTCGGCAAAACATTTATTGATAAAGAGTGCTTTTTCATGCAGGGGTTTATTCTAAATGTGCTTTCGCTGTGATCTTGTGTATTTTGTCATGAGCTTTTTGGAAATACAGCTTACATTTTTCAGTTGGTTAAGTTAGGCTTGAAATAGAGCAGAGGTTTCTGCTCCACTGATCTACGCTGCAGAGTAACATAACAGTTTAACTACATTGTACTGAACTCTTGTATTTCAGAGCTTTCAGCCAACACAGCTGCCTTCGCTAAAAGTGCTGCTATGTTAGGTAACTCTGAGGACCACACTGCTCTATCGAGAGCTCTGTCTCAGCTTGCAGAGGTTGAAGAGAAGATAGATCAATTGCATCAAGAACAAGCTTTTGCAGATTTCTATGTGTTCTCAGAACTGCTTGGTGATTACATTCGGCTCATTGCTGCAGTTAAAGTGAGTATTACTAGGAAAAACACTGGTTTTTAAGGTCACATTCCTCAGCTTGTAATTTCAGAGTAAATGAATGTGTATTTGCATATGTGACAATGCAGTTAAGACTTCAGTGTTTGCCTGATGTTCTAGCTGAGTAAAGTGAATGCATCCATGATCAGTTACTCCATTAATAAAAGTGGTTGTGATAAAAAATGGGAATGGATTAATAACAGATAGACAAAATGTAAATAGTGAGCATCATCTACTTTGAGCTGCATTAATTGTACACAGTATTTAGGGACACAATACACTACTGTGTCTGAGCATGCTGTAGTTGTTTTTTTTCAGGTTAGTTATTCTTACTGGATGCTCATAATTTTTTGAGAACGCAGTTTGCCTGTATTTGGTAGATAGCCTGTAGTTTATGTAAATAAGAAACAAATACAATTTGTGGATCTATGTCTTATTAAAGGTGAGGAAGGGGTGTCTGTGAATTTTATCCAAAAATATCTTTTGGTTTATCCAAAAGTATCAGCAGGTTATTGGGAGTATGTATTTTTCTTTTTTTTTCTTTCTTTTTTTTCCCCCTCCTAATACATGCACTTTAAATTTGCTACCTTAGTCCATTGCTAACAAAATGTATTGCTGAATATGCATGTAGTCCATATGTATGAAAACTTTGCTAGAATCTGCATTTAGAGAAGTGTTTGCATAACAGAGCACTTTGTAGTGGATGTTTTGGTAGTGTTTTGATGGAATGAGAAGCATAAAATGGTTTGAGGCACTAAGGTATCTGCTCTGAGAAGTCTTTCTGAATGCTCTGTTGTTTATGGAAGGTGAAGGTATTGACCTATACCAGCATGCTATCAGAGGAAATACAGGAAGACATGGTAAATGCAGTGAGGTTTTTTTGGGGTATACTTGTCCTGGTTTATGAAGAATTAACCTTTCCTTCTAGGAATTTAGATAGCTCTAATAATTCCAGTTGTTTAATAAATTTGTCTATCCTTACAGGGTGTGTTTGATCATCGAATGAAATGCTGGCAGAAATGGCAAGATGCTCAGGTCACTTTACAAAAAAAACGTGAAGCTGAAGCAAAGCTGCAACTTGCCAACAAACCTGAAAAACTGCAGCAAGCTAAAGATGAGATAAAAGAGGTAATGTTATAAACATTATTTTGGAGGTCATCCTTTCGCATTAACTCATTCATTCTGCATTAATGCACTACTTTATACCATTTTTATTTACAAATCACTCATTTGCTGTTTCCTATGTTTACTGAAATTGTTAAAGGGAATTTAAAATGTTAAATGTGCACAGTTGTTACTTATTGTAAGATCTGTAAGGCAGCTAATACTGTCTCTGCAGAGTCTGGGAGATGGGAGGAGGGGAACATAGAAAAGTTAAATAATATATTTAACTGTTAACAGATCACTTGGGTAGGCAGAGGAGCATCTCTTGGCTTCTAAAGCTAAAATCCATCTAAGATGACTAATAGAGAACTGTTCCCATGTTTTGCCTAATTATGCAGCTTAGCTACCCATATATATATGTGTGTGTATATATGGTGTAATTTCAGTAAAAATAAATCTAACATGTTGAAGTGTCATAATTTATACACTTTTTCTATCATGCTTCACTAAGGAAATTGAAGAGGTAGGACAACTTAATTATTTAACATCAATGCATTCTAATTATGCACCAGTATTCTTCCATTATTGGGAGAACATCATTGCAGAATTCAAGCTCTCTTTTGCAGTTACTTTGCTTGGCTTCCTCATTGGTCACCAACCTCATGCTGCTTTGTTCCTTCTGCCCTTCAATACATTTTGCATACAGTGTTGAAGTTACTCATTAACTTGGCTTTCTTTTTCTTAACAAAAGGCCTTTCTTTACCGTGAAATCTTAATGTCACTCTTTTGTGATGACAGTCTTGCTGGTTGCCTCTCTTGATGTCACCCATCCATCCACAATACAAATGAACTGGAATTCCTTGTCAAAAATAATTCCTGAGTATTGGAAGTAGTAGGAAGTACTCAGTGATCTTTTCTTGGTCCCAGTGTTAAAATAATTACATGGTTCCCAAAGGATTTATTTTTCCTGCTTTACTGGATGATTAGAGAAGGTTGTTCGTAAACCCACAATTGGAATGTGCTGATCAAAAGCTATTGCTGCCATTGAAACATGTCCAGAGTTGCTGAATTCTGTAATAATAGTCCTCTGGCAGAGCAGTTGTGGAGTGGAAGCCTACTCAAGCTTCATCCATGCCTCAGTTGTGTTTTGTAGATAAAAAGGCCAAAGAACAGTCCTAGAAATACCTCGTCAAACAAGGACAAATTTCTCCTTGTCAGAAACTGAGATGGCAGGCTGTTACCCAGTGATAATCTGTGTAGGACTTGGCATCTGGGCATTATGAAACTGAGATGCTGGATCCATTAGGCCTATAGAGGCTTTCACTGAAGTCTCAAGCACCTCTAATAGCTGTGGTAGGAAGGCACAGGCAGTCTTAATCTACCTTTTATTTGGCTGAATTTTGCATTGTTTCAGTTATTAGATAACTCTTCAGGTTCTTCTGGAAGAACATCCTATTATGACTTACTGCATATCGTCATTACGTGTATCTGGAAAGGCAATTAAGGAGACTGAATAAATACAAACTAAAAACATAAATACGCAGTAGGTATTTATTGGAACATAGATGATGATCATCTCATATCACAGTAGTATCTTGAGACTGCACCACAAAATGCTTTTGTGAGTAAACAGGACTACTAGACTGCTAACAGGAATATGCTATATTGAATTATGTTGCTTCCCTGCTACCTTTTTCTAGGGAAGATAGGTGTTACTGGATTTATTGGCTACCATAACTCAGTTAACATGTTGAGATGAACTGATGAAGTTGCATTTTAAATATCTATTAACCTGCCTGCATCCAAAGAGTGAGGATGATAGCTTTTTTCATAGTATATCTACACAGCTATCCTAATTTAACAATATAATTGTTAAATTTTTATTGTGTAAAATCAGAGTAGATGATGATCTTTTGCTATATAGCTGGATTTCCTTTCCTAAGGTGAAACATGACCTAGTGTCATGTATCGTTGAATGAATACTACGCTCCCAATGTGGCAAAACCCCACAAGCAACATCACTTCCTCTGAATTTTCCTTTTGTGCTCTTGTTAGGTGTGATAACTTTTCTACTCCACCTTTCTTTGAAAATAGTTCTCACTAAACTAGAAGGCATGTGCTTTGTCTTATTTAAGCAAGATGCATTCTAACTGGAAAGCCAGTAAACACATCTTCAATACCTTGTCATCTGCCACAGAAATATGATGGAGATAATGATATACCTGACCACAGGCAGAGATGAAGATTTTTAGTCATCTGCTCTGGAATTAGGAATGTACAGGGAACTAACTGAGACTCTTCCATACATGATTGGACAAATAGTCACAGAAGGCTTAGAGGTTTATAGTGGTGTTTGTAAATGGAATAGTAGGCAAAGATTTAGAGTCCTTTTTCCTTACTAAATAATCTTTAAAAGACGTTATTCAATATTCCTCAATAGCAATACTAAGATGTCTTTACATTTCATCTACAGATAGTATTACCTTAGAGATACCATTGTTTTAACTGATTTAGTGACATCCTATTGTACAGATTGTTACTTTGAAGTTGCCATTGTAATACTTTCCCTTAGGTATGCCACAAAATGAGATAGGTCCTTTTCAGCTCTTATGTGACTATTGCTAATATCCTAAAAAAAGTTTAGATACTGATAGACTGAATGGACAACACAAAGTCTTATCTCTGCATATCTTTCTTTGCCAGTGGGAGACAAAAGTTCAGCAAGGGGAAAAAGATTTTGAACAGATCTCCAAAACCATTCGCAAGGAAGTGGGAAGATTTGAGGCACGTATAATTTTGTCCAAGTAAATGACATTTTTACTTTAGATAATATTGACATTCCAAGTAGAATTGGTTAAGAGGTTAATATGCCGTAATTTATTTATTAACAGAAGGAACGAGTGAAAGACTTTAAAACTGTTATTATCGAGTACTTAGAGTCATTAGTCCAAACACAGCAGCAGGTAAGATGAATTTTAAGTTTCGTACAAGTTAATATTTAATACATTCCATATTATGATAATTATTAAAAAAAAATACTTTAAGTGTAGCAGTTTATAAAATGTAAAGAACTACTTCTAGTCTGGGGTTTGCCAGCTATTGCTGTGCTCTTTTGCACAGCTCTAATTCAGGGAAGCAAGGGAGAAGCTACCTTAGGGATATGAGCAATTGGAGGGTCTTGCTGCCTTCTGAAACTGAAGTAATACCTTCAGTTATAGATTGGAGTAAATCGTAATGAATATGTACTTAGACTTCATGAAGAGACTTGAATACTTAGTGTTTATTGCTCTTTTTTAAAAGTATAAAATTTTAATGAGTATTGAAAAGAAGTAAAACAGTTTCCAGTGACTGAGAAGTAGATTTTTTTTTTCCCGAAAGAATGTCTGGAGTCTTCCCTTTTTGCTCTGGGAATATAAACCTCCAGCTTTGTTTAATTAAAAAAAAAAAAAAAGGATACCCTTGGGGGTAAGAATAACCAACTGAGCTTGCAAACAAATTCTGTATAACTGTATTCTATACCATTGTGTTCCGTGTGTTAGCAGTTGTGTTGGTATGAGCAGATTTGTGCATTTATTACTTGTATTTTTTCCTTGCAATATGTAATAATGGATAATACAAAGCACCTATGTTCTCACTTTGTCCAGTGGAGACAAGTTTACCACAAGAGGAAGGTATATGTGTTTTCTTTTCCAACATTTAGTACCTAATAATGAGTGATATTCCCTTCTCTTCAAGCTAATAAAATACTGGGAGGCATTCCTACCTGAAGCCAAAGCCATCGCCTAAAAGAAGAATATTCCAAATGACAAGACACTCTGGATGCTTGTCCTCGATAAAACTAAATTCCACAGTAAAATCACTTTAAATCATCCAAATAAACCACTATATATTTTATTAATTAACGTGGCTTTTTTTATATACTACAGCATTTTATTAACAAGCTGCATGTCCTGACCCTCTTTGAAGCGGACTGTGGCATGATGTTCTGCAATACATTGCTGAATTGAACACTACTGTGTCTTAATACTTGCACTAAAGTGTGCATGGCAAGGCCAGAAAGCTGATATTTTTGTTCTTTACAATACAGTGTTCTGTAGTACATTTAGCTGATCTTTATGAAACAAATGATTGCACCGATTAATGTTCACTTAAACATTCCTGTACAAAATCATGTTTTTGTGATTACAATAATAAAGGGATGTACCTTGTGAAACATTAAACACTCCAGTTTTGTGTGTGTGTGTTAGATATTTACTGGTATTCTTAGAAGTAGCTTTAGAACAAGTTGAGATTATATCAAAGGCAGAACCAAAATTTAGTGAAGAATGCTGGAGAAATACAAACAAGTATTTTTGGTAAACGATTCTGGGTTTTAAATTCTGAGTCTCTTTGTTACAGGTATTCCTTTCACCTGAAGTTATCACTGCCTTGGTAAATTGTGATGCGTTTATACTCCTAGGTTCACAAGACTGATGCTTGCGCAAGAGACAGACATAAACCAGTATGTTTTCCAAGTGTTTTATAAAGTTTCTGAAGGGTTAAGATCACATGCGTGGTCAAATATTGATGTCCTACTGGACTGATAGATTTCACCAGTTGTCTTCAATGGTCTCAGGATACAAAAAGGAAAAAATCTTGCAATAATTGTGGTAATCAGGGAGGAAGAAAACTAGGTAATGCAGCTGAGTGCAAGCTCAGTTGTATGGGCTAGTATTCTTGTGTTTTCTTGAGTAGAAAGTATTTGCAGGGACTGGTTAAATCTTCTGTAAGAAATCAGAACACCTAAACATTCTTTCTAAAATACAAAATATTAACATAGGATGTACTATCTTGTCATTCTAATGACATACTGAGCTTGTCAATGACATGCATTAACAAATTTTAGACAATTGTTAATCCTATAAAATAAAAGAGAAGCTATTGCTTTCAGCTATCCATACAACTGCAGGATGAGCCCAAGGATTTCTATTGTTCATGGTCAAGCATGAAGAAACACTCAGTAATCTTGCTGAGCAGAACAGAAATTTAAATTCAGCTCGAAGATTATATCTTGTCTGATTTATGCAACAAAACTAGTGTAAACTCTGCAGATTAGCGTCTCCTGTTTTTTCTATACAGACTTCTATTGACTCGGTATTTCTAGGAATTTTCAAGGAAATTAGTACAGGAACTGTTACTTTAAAACACCTTTATAAAGCCTTTATCAAACATCTTTTTAAATGATGAAATGCTAAAACACTAAGCTTGTAACATCTTGCGTTTCACTCTTTAAGTCATTAACAATTGTAATTGTTTTTTGAAAAGTTCAAGTATGCAACAGGTTTATGAAGAAGAAATTGATCCAGGCATAGCAATACTAAGTGTCACGATGTACTTGACTTTGGCTTGCTTGGTGCTAATGAATGAAAAGCAGCTGAACATTAAACTTCAAATATATTCCAGTGACAGTGAAAGTGGTTACTTCCAGATTTAAAGATTCGATTTTGACATGCAGAGCTCAAAATGAGTATAGTTTTTTTTCTTTGTTTTATCCAGCTATTTTAGCTCTTGATGGTTTTGTTTGTTTCTATGAGGACTGGAATTTAGTTGAATTATGGATCAGATTTCTTCTCTCTGTGATGAGAGAATGAGAATTAGCTTTCACATTGGTCTCTTAGCAGGGATTACTGTGACATTCTTGGTCTGTACTAGACAACTAACATGAGAATGAGTTGTAGAGGTGTTTCTTTTGTTTTAAAAAAAAACGGAAGCCTGTTGGAGAACAAAAGGATAATAGCATTTCTGAAGTCTAATGTCACAGAGGATTGCTTATACAAAAATTTAGACTTTCTTTTCCATCACAGGGTTAATTTGAACAGAAGACACAGATCAGCTGTCACAGCATAAAACTCTTGTTGCTTCAACAATCTGTTAATTCACTTTGCATATATTCCCCTACTTTATGAGGATTGAAGGTTTGCTTACCATCTTTCCTAATATGATTAACATCTGTATTAACAGATATGTCTCAAATCAAGTGAATGGAGGTGTTGCTGAATTATTTTCTGGTGGTGCTCGCTACAGGATGTGCTACTAAATTTAAGTATTTTTGTCTGAAACTCTGAGATAGTGTACCGCTGAAGAATCACTGGTATGAAAAAAATTGCTTGCAAAATGGTGAACTACATTTGGAATATTGTATAAAAGACAAGGTGCTAAGGAAGTCTAGTTTACTTTTTAGATTAAAATAAACTCTGTAGATGTTTTCAAAAACTTCTAATCAATCACATTCTTGTATCCGTTATCTTGTATCCATGTGTCCATAGTGCATTTTGAATTAAATTTATATGACATGTGTGATGTGGCTCAAGTTGAAGACTGTTACCTCTTTCTTAAACTGATGCTTAGTCTACAATAATTCTCTGATTCTTTAGTCACTGTCCCTTTTAAAATTGAATATTCTACTTTCCTATCAATTACTGCTTTTTTAACCTCTCATAATTTTTTTCCCTCTGAAGGCCTCATATGGGAGTTTGTCTTTAACATCTTTGGAGTTCATGCCCCAAATATGTCAGTTTCTTTCACATTCTGGTGGAGATGAGCTGCTAGCTAATACATCCTGTGCATTTAAGTGAACAGCTAATGTCCACTAAAATTATGTGTACAGTGAAATGATTGTCTTAAAGAAAAATGAAAAGAAAACTTAGTGCCTTTTTTTTGTCTTTCCATTTCAGAGTAGAAAAGGCTGTGTCATAATTTGAAAATCTGGCAAAGTAAGCCCATTATAGCCATGGGAGGGGAAAAAAAAAGTTCAATATTAAAACATGTAAGGAGCAGAAGTTTCAGGTTGTTCAAAATGTTTATTGTTACCTGCTAAGGAGACTTTTTTCCTTTTTAAAAAAATCTTGTCTTTCATAGTTGTATGGGGGATGAGCTTGCTAGTAAGTAAAAATACCTTTTGACATCACTGCTAAAACAATAGGGTTTTTTTACTTTTTTTTTTAGTCAGTGAGGAAATGACTAACATAGGGAAGGAATATAAAACAATCCAAATCTGCTCACTGTCATTAAGAAAATCTGTGTCCTAGGTTGAACTAAGACAAAACCAACTCTGTTCAGTTATTTTATTTCTCAGCTGAGTCTCTTAGAAGAGACTGCGCTGTCTGAAGTTAACAGCATGTTTTTGCAGGCAGTGTCTGCTGCTAGAAGTGATAATGCCTGATGTTTACAGTTACTGTCAGGAACTGGGATGCAGAAAGGCTCTTGCTTATGCTTGCTGCTATAGTGACCAAGGTCACTGCTGGATCTTGTGTAACACATTGGGGGTGCTGAGAAATAAAGGAGTGCAAGAAAGTAAAAGGTTGCACCTCCAGTGAGGAATGGACAGGACAAGTGATGAACAAAAACATTCAACTCCATATATGTCATAGAATCGTAGAATTATTAGAGTTGGAAGGGACCTTAAAGATCATGTAGTTCCAATCCCCCTGCCATGGGCAGGGACATCCCCCACTAGATCAGGCTGCTCAGAGCCCCATCCAGCCTGGCCTTAAAAACTTCCAGGGATGGGGCTTCCACCACCTCTCTGGGCAACCTGTGCCAGTGTCTCACCACCCTCATGGTGAAGAACTTCTTCCTAACGTCCAATCTGAACTGATCCATCTCTAGCTTTAATCCATTCCCTCTAGTCCTATCACTACTCAACATCCTAAAAATCCCCTCACCAGCTTTCTTGTAGCCCCCTTGAGATACTGGAAGGCCACAATAAGGTCTCCTCGGAGCCTTCTGTTCTCCAGACTGAACAGCCCCAACTCTCTCAGTCTGTCTTCATAGGAGAGGTGCTCCAGCCCTCTGGGCATCCTCGTGGCCCTTCTCTGGACACACTCCAGCACGTCCAGATCTTTCTGGTGCTGTGGGCTCCAGAGCTGGACACAGTGCTCCAGATGAGGTCTCACAAGAGTGCAGTAGAGTGGGAGAATCACCTCCCTTGACCCTGGCCACGCACCTCTTGGCGCAGCCCAGGACACGATTGGCTTTCTGGGC